TCTTTCTGAAGATAATTCAGAAACAGTTGCAGCAGTATATTGACAGAGAACTTCCAGAAATGCAAGCTGGATTCAGAAGAGTACGTGGAACAAGAGATATCATTGCTGTTGTCAGATGGATCTTGGCTGAAAGCAAAAAATACCAGAAAGATGTTTACTTATGTTTTATTGACTATGTAAAAGCATTTGATTATGTGGATCATAACAAAGTATGGATAAGGTTGAGAAGAATGGGAATTCCAGAATACTTCATTGTACTCATGAGGAACTTGTACATAGATCAGGAGGCTGTCATTCAGAACAAGGAGATACTGCATGGTTTAAAATCAGGAAGGGAGTGCATCAGGGTTGTATCCTTTCACCATACTTACTCAATCTGTATGCTGAGCAAATAATCTGAGAAGCTGGATTATATGAGGAAGAACATGACATCAGGATTGGAGGAAGACTCAACAACCTGTGATAAGCAGATGACACAACTTTGCTTGCCAGAAGTGAAGAGACTTGAAGCACTTACTGATGAAGATTAAAGAATACAGTCTGCAATATGGATTACACCTTAATATAAAGAAAACAAAAATCCTCACAACTGGACCTATAAGCAACATCATGATAAATGGAGAAATGATTGAAGTTGTCAAGGACTTCATATTCCTTGGTTCTACAATCAACACCAATGAAAGCGGTAGTCAAGACATCACATGACATATTGCATTGGGCACATCTGCTGCAAAAGACCTCTTTCAGGTGCTGAAGAACAAAGATGTCTCCTTGAAGACTAAGGTGCACCTAACCCAACCCATGTTATTTTCAATCACCTCTTACACATTGGAGAGCTGGCAATGAATAAGGAAGACCGAAGAAGAGTTGATGCTTTTGTGTTGTGGTGTTGGCAAAGAATACTGAAGTACCATGGAGTGCCAAAAGAACTAATACATCTATATGGAAAAGAGCATCTGGAATGCTCCTTGGAAGCAAGAAACTACTCCAGTCACGTTATCAGAAGGAACTATTCACTGGAGAAGGATATCATGCTTGATAAAGTGGAGGGTCAGCAAAAAAGGACAAGGCCCTCAACAGGATGGATGGATAAAGTGGCTGCAACAGTGGGCTCAGGTATAACAGTGGTTGAGAGGCAGGCATGGGGCCACACAGCGTTTCGTTCTGTTGTGCATTAGGTCACTATGAGTCGGAGATGACTCTATGGCACCTAACAACAACAGACCAGCAGTACTAGCACTTCGTGGGAAACTATTAAAAGTACAAATTCTCAAGCCCCACCCATACCTGCTGAATCAGAAACTATGGACATGGGGTCTGATGATCTGTGCTGTAACAGGTTCTTCAGGAGATTCTGATGCACACTGAAGTTTGAGCTCTATTTATAAGATACCAGCCAGTTGCCAGCCAAAGCTTTAGAGGCAGCTGTGAAGCCTCATTTGATTTCCTGCTAGGGCCCTGGGGATGAGGAACTGGTCAGCCAGGGATAGGCTGCAAGGCCAGCCAGAAGGTTAAAGGGCTGTTTTTCTTTTGATTTGTTTGTTTGTTTTTAATAGTGATCCACTAGAAGATGGAAATTTTCTGGCTTGGTTGTCTGGTGGAATGTTTTCTATCTCTTTGAGACAGAAAAAGGTCTTAATGATTCCAAAAATTATTTTATGCTTTTATGTTGTAATTGCAAAAGAAACTCCAAGATGATATCAATCAAGTACTTCTGATTTTTTAGTGATACCATTTTTTAAAAATTACTTTTATGGCACCTAACAACATGGTGAAATCATGTTTGTATATGTTTTAAGTGGTGTTCATAGTTTACGGAGGTAACATTATTGACAGCCAATTTGACATTATAAGAAAAAGTTGGAAGCTATATTCTGATCTAGGTAACCTCATGCCTTTCAGTTTGTACCCCCACCTCTATCCCCAAGTACCTCTCTGACCTCAGATCCTACTTTTCTTCCCATTATTCATGCCACTCCAACCACACTGGCCTCCTCTTGGTGGTCCCTAGAACATATTTGGATCTTTATAGTTGCTGTCCCTCTGTTTGGAATATTTCTAAATCATATATCTACATAGCTAGCTCCCTCACTTTCTTCAAAAGTGGATTCTCAAAGAGAACTTCCTTGGCCACCCTAACTGAAACTTCTCACATACACTGCATTCCAAAGAAAAGCTCAGGCCAAGGTTGCTTCTACCTTAAATTCTACTGTTGAGTTGATCCTGAATCATGAAGACCCTATAGGACAGAGTAGAACTGCCCCTGTAGGATTTCCAAGGCTGTAAATCTTTATGGCAGCAGATTGCCTAATCTTTCTCCTATGGAATGGCTAGTGGGTTTGAACTATCAGCCTTTTAGTTAGCAGCCTGTCCCTTATCCACTGTACCACCAGGGCTTCTTGGTGATTTCTAACAAGTATTTAAAGAAGAATTAGAATGAATACTTTTCAGACTTGTCCAGAAAATAGCAGAGGAGGGATCACTTCCCAACTCAGTTTTATAAAGCCTTGATCTGCAGTTTCAATTTCTGCTTCTTCTTCATAGGGCTGTCTTCTCTCTGTGTCTCTTTTCATTTATAGAGGCACTACTCATACTGGATTAAGACACCCCTACTCCTCTGGTAGCATAGTGCCTAAGGCACTTGACTGCTAACCAGGAGGCTGGCGGTTCAAACCCACCAGCCACTCCTCGGAAGGAAGGTTGGGCAATCCTACTTCCGTAGTGATAACTGCCTCGGAAACCCAAGGAGGGGTCGCTAGGAGTCGGGGCCGACTCGATGGCAAACAACAACAACAACATTCCAGTAGGGGAGTCCTTGAGTAGTTCAAATGGTTGAAGTGCTTGGCTGCTAATAACCAAAATGTTTGAGGTTCAAGCTGATTCAGAGACCCCTTGGAAGAAAGTCTTGGTGGTCTGCTTCCAAAAATTCAGCTCTTGAAAACCCTGTGGATATACCCAGAAGTAAAGGCAGAAATTTATACACCAGTGTTTACTGCAGCACTTTTCACAATGGCAAAATGTCCACCAACAGATGAATGGAAAAATAAAATGTGGCATATACATGCAATGGAATACTGCTTAGACATAAAGAGAAATGAAGTCCTGATGTATGCCCCAACATGGATGAACCTTGAAAACATCATGCTGAGAGAAATAAGTCAGACACAAAAGGACAACTATTGTATGATCTCACTATATGAAAAGAACAAATATATAGAAACCAATGAGTATTAGTAGTTACCAGTAGTTACCAGGGGTGGAAGGAGTAGAAAGAAGGAGTTTTTGCTTATATGGCATTGAGTTTCTATTAATAGTAGTAGAATGATTTGGAAAAAGATTGTGAGAATGGTTGTACAACTTCAAGAATGTCACCTGTATTAACTGAATTGTATTTGTAGAAACTGTTGAGATGGCATGTATTTTCTTATGTATATTTTCACTGCAATAAAATAAAATAAAACCTATGGTGCACAGTTCTACTCTGATACACAAAAGATCACCGTGAGCTGGAATCAACTCAAAGGCAACTGGTATTCCAGTATGACCTCATGTTAACCGATAACATCTTCAGAGATGCTACATCCAAATAAGGTAACATTTCCAAGTACCAGAGGTTAGCACTTCCATGTAGTATTTTTTGGAGGCATACAATTCAATCTGTATCAGTTGTGTATTCAATTGTTGAAGCTGGGTAATGAGTACATGGGGTTTGTAATGCTACTCTCTACTTTATATGTGTTGAAAATTTTACATTTATAAAGGAACTCTGTGAGTATGGTTTTTTTAATTACACATGTTGTTGTTGTTGTTATTTGCCATCGAGTC